CTGTTCTCTTGACTGTTCACTGTCAGCGCGGTCAAGAAATCAGTGAAAAATCAGCGAAAAACTCTTCACTGGTATTGAAAGCTAAAAAAATATCGAGGACTTTCTTAAAGAAGTGGATGAAGATTTATTAATATATGCTGGTGAATTACGAAGCAATGGTTCTACGTCAACAGCGAGCGCAAAGTATCTAACAGAAAACGATCTAGCGGGAATCCCTGAAGGACATAAAAGACTTATCTTAAATATGGTTAGCCGTCTGAGAACGCCCGTACGTGAAAGACCGTAAACTAAGTTCCCCTCATCCTCAGAGAAACGTTCAACTTCTAAAACGAGGAAAAAAACTGTCTGAGGTGTTACCGAGGCAAGTGTTGGACAAGAAGCACAGTGGTTTCAACGTGAAGCCAGCGTCTCCCGCCCAACGATTAGACCAAAATTACTGTCCCCTGGAAAAAGATTCATCGAAGAAAAACGCCGCGCTGTGGAGGAAAAACTTGCCGAAGCAGCTGAAAAACGAAAAGTGCTAGAAGATTGTTACCGAAGAATAAAAGAAGCTGCTTCCGAAAATAACGTTAACCTTACCGGCCAAAGCATGTGGACCTGATCTCATCCCTGCAAGAGTTCTTAAAGAGGCTGCATCTGCGTTAGCTCACATTCCGGCCGAAATTTTCCAACAGTCGCTCGATTCACAATCTGGTAAGCTGCCATCGGCTTGGAAGGACGCGAACGTCTCAGTCCTGCATCTACAAAAAAGGTTTAAGATATAACCCTGAGAATTACAGACCGATATTTCTTTAACGTCACTTTCTGTGAACTCCTTGAGCTTATCAAATGTAATCAGGATCAAGTCTGTTCCTTTTCTCTTCAAACTCAACCATATCCATGTTTCAACATGGGCTCCGAAGAGGTGTCTCCTGTGAGACACAGCTGATTTCTTTATAGTTCACGAGTGGTTAAATGTACTAAAAGAGCGAAGCCAAGTTGACGTCGTCTTTCTAACCTTTGCAAAGACGTTCGATTAGTCGTGCCACACCAGCGGTTAATCAGCAAAGTTGATTATTGTGGTATCCGGTGTAACTTAAAGCTTTGGATTAAAGACTTTCTTAATTACTGATCGCCGGCAGCGTGTAGTCGTTGATGGTTTTTGAGTTCTCTGGAAGCACACTGTGGTCCGTTGTCAGAATACAGAGTATTAGGTATGCCATGGCGTGCGAACTGATTCTTGAGAGACTTAATAAGAGAACTTGAGTTGGTACTGGATAATTGGTTCAGTTCAAAGTAATCTGACCAGTAGTCAACGATGATGAACCACTCTTTGTTGTCAAAACTGAAAAGGTCTGTTGCAATATGAGACCAAGGGCGTTTAGGTGGATCATGAGGTATGAGTGCTTCTTTCTGCTGGTTTGTCTGATAAGTGTTACATGTTTCACATTTAGAAACACAGTCCCTGAACTCGGCGGTCATGGCAGGCCAAAACAGGACATCTCTTGCTTTATTTAAACAGCTTTCAATACCAAGGTGGCTTGAGTGTACTTGCGTTATCATGCGGGGCCTTAGCGCTATAGGTGCAATTACTCGATTTCCTTTGAAGAGGACACCATCTTGGATGTTGAGCTCTTCTTTGAAGTCAAAATATCTCCTGGTTTCTTATAGGAATTCTTCTTTTGATAATATGTTTCAACTGCTGAAGACCTTCATCAAGTTCAGTTTTTCTTCTGAGATCAACAAGGCGTTCACTCGTGATTGGCAGAATTAATTAAACTCGACCATGCTCATCTCTTCAATGGTTTTGATTAGATACTCTTCCTGTTTGACTGATAAAACCTCCGACTTCAACTCTTCTGTACTCGGCTTATTGGGAAGGAATGCTCGACTAAGTGTATTGGCAATGAATAGTTCCTTTCCAGGCTTGTACACTATATTCAAGCCATACCTCCCGAGCTGCAATAACATTCTTTGGAGCCTTTTGGGGGCTGAAAGAAGAGATTTCTTCAAAATGCTCTTTAGCGGCTTGTGATCTGTCTTTACTGTAATTGGTCTACAATAAACGTACTGGGCTATGCTATGCTGAGCAGCTCTTTCTCTATTTGAGCATAATTTCTTTCAGTACTCGTAAGTGCTCTTGACGAGAATGCTATAGGCTGACCCTCTGGCAGTGTGACAGCACCAAGTCCAGATTCCGATGCATCGCCCTGCAGAGTTACTTCTTTACTGGGGTCGAAATACTTCAACACTGGTTTCCTTGTGAACAACTGTTTCACATGCTTCCATGATTTCTCGTGTGTATCGTTCCAGTGCCATTGCACATCTTTGTCTAATAGACGTCTCAACGGTTCCGTCACATCAGACAGGTTAGGCAGAAATTTTGCAAGATACGTAATCATTCCAAGCAGCCTTTGCAGGGCCTTCTTGTCTAAAGGGGTAGGCATTGCCACAATTGCCTTGACTTTACTTGGATCCGGCTTGAGGCCATCAGGGGTGAGTACATGACCGATGTAGGGCACTTCTTGCTTTCTCAACTGTAACTTCTTTGGATTCAACTTGATATTCTTCGCACGACATCTCTCCGGGAGTGCAATTAGGTTTCTGTCATGATCCTTAACCGCACCTTCATAGGTGTCACCCTCGCCAACACAGAGTATGTCACCTACAATGTCTTCTAGACCTTTAAGACCTTGTAGGCTTTCATGGATTCTTCGCTGGTACTCTCCTCGGGCTGTTTTGATTCCTTACGGTAAGCGAAGCCAACGATAACGGCCAAAAGGTGTATTGAACGTGGTCAAGAGTGACGACGGTTTGTCTAGCTGAACTTGCCAGAATCCATTCTTTGCATTCAAAACTGAGAAGACTTTAGCCTTGCATAGCCTAGTGGCCACGTCTACAATGGTGGGGAGAGGATAATGGGCTCTCAGCAGGGCTCTGTTTAAATCTTGTGGGTCAATACAAATTCTTAACTTTTCTGGCTTGTTGACTAGAACCAAACTAGACACCCAATTTGTAGGTTCTGTAACGGGGGTGATAACTTTCTCCCTGACTAACTTGTCCAGTTCTTCCTTTAAACGGTCTCTCAGTGCTACAGGTACTTTTCTAGGGGGTGGACAACAGGTTTTACAATTTCATCAAGTTCCATATGGCATGGGCCATCCACGCATCCTAATCCCTCAAAAACATCACTGTACTCTTTCAAAATTTGATCTCTGGTTAGAACAATGTGGGCAGTTTGAACCTTGTCATTTACTTTAAAAAAATCTGCATCTCTACTCATCTTACCTTTGGCACATTCGAGAGTGCACTTTCCAAGTGGAGTCATAGTGGTTCCATTGAACATCTTAGTAGATGTTTTCTTCAAATAAAGATCTTTGGGATCCCCCATAATGCTTGAGAATTCTTTTAGTGATAGCAAATTACAAGTTGCTCCACAGTCCAACTGAAATGTAACATCTTTAGCATTGTTTACTTTGACTGATGTAAACAACTGTTTTGGGNCAAGTTGCTCCACAGTCCAACTGAAATGTAACATCTTTAGCATTGTTTACTTTGACTGATGTAAACAACTGTTTTGGGTGTTTCTTTTCTTCAACAGCACCGACTTGATAAGTTATTACATCAATAGCATACTCTTCAAATTGACTCCCATCTGAAACTTCTTGAACGTAATTCAAATTCTGATTGGCATGTAGATTACGACTGGACTGCCTTCCTCCTGTACACTTCGCAGCAAAATGGTTGCTTTTTCCACACTTGTTGCACTGTTGGCCATATGCAGGGCATTTTGATCTGTCTGGTACATGTTTCCTGCCACAAAACGTGCAGTCGATCTGCTGAGTACTTCCGTTTGCTGATTTCTTCTTCTCTTCTTGTTTCTTTCGGTGAATTTTTCTTTCTTCTTCCCCACTGCATTAACCTCGTGCAAGTTTTGCATTTGTTTCAACTGGCTTTGGGTTGCTTCGGCAGCTCGTGCAATTTCTAAAGCTTTATTCAGCGTCAAATCTGGGACTCGCAGCAAACGCTCTCTCACGTTGTTATCAGCGATTCCAAACACGATGCCGTCACGTATCAATGAATCTTTCAAATCTTGAAATTCACAAGAGTCTGCCATCTTGCGTAGAACTGTGGCATATTTATCAATGGGTTCCCCACTTTCCTGTCCACGCGAAAAGAATAAATACTTTTCGTAAATTGTATTCTTGCGTGGCTCACAATACTGCTCAAATTGCTCTATAACTTTATCCATTTTGACTTTGTCTTCGTCACTGTCCCACGTGAATGCATTGTAAACATCTAGCGCTTCATCGCCGATCACGGTGAGAAAAGTTGCTACTCGAATGGGGTCTTCCTTTCTGGCTATTCCGATAGCTAGCTCATAGTTACTCCACTTTTGTTTAAATCATTTCCAATTTTAAGATACATTTCCACTTGAAAGCTGCAGATGATCCGGCGGGTTTAACAAACGCGCAGCCGCCATTTCACACCATGCGGTTTCGATTTATGCGAACAGCAACGAACCAAGGTTTTCACGAGACAAATATTTCACAAATGCGGTCGGCAAACAGCTTCATCCACTACCTTCTGACACCATGTGTTAGTCCTTAGCTTCAAAACGAGCAAACTCGACCAAACAGTCTTTAATCAGAAAAAACAACTCAAATCAACTTCAATCAACTTACAAGAACGTCCCCGATAACGTTTTTTACGAGTATGCGATATTATGTCAGCGGTATTGTTCACTACTTCATAATATCACATTTAATATTAATATTTTATATCACTATTTAATTTTCTTCCAAGTTTCGTCGTATTCACGTGACTATCTATGCATGATTTATGAAAAGACAAGGATCAAGTTCCCCTAGGACCACTATTGGGAAAACAAAACATACAAGCTAAAGAGGTTTATTGGCACATGCCGTAAGGTACCTCTAGTTTCAAGTAGACACTACTATATATGTATGTATAACATCTGTTGTCCTGCGCATATTATATACTTCATACCCCATAAAGATCTATGGGAATCTCAAGTGGAAATCAGGAGGTCCAACGAAAATGCCGCTGACCATAAACATCCCCTCACACATATTCCTAAACGTGAGATTATGATATCCTGGCTTTACTCTTGTCGAAACGGTATCAAACTGATCAAATCCGTAGGTTTCAGAAAAATAAACAGCTGTATTATTATCGTTATCAAGCCAAATGGTAGCATTACATCGTTTATTGTTCATGACCATAACTGTCACGGACCGCGAACGGATCGGAAGATCTTTAACTTTCAGATCTGGAACGAAGACACTTAGTTTAAGGTAACTAAACATTTTCTCCCCACACCAACCGCCAAAGGCATCTGGACGAAGCGGTTTGTCCTTGCTTTTTAGTTTTAAACACATCGAAAAGCCTACGTTATCTACAATTTTAAATTTTAGACTAGGGTGGTGAATCGGTTTAGACGCATCTGGCGTTTTTCCTGTCCAACACAGTGGTTGTCTCAAAACTTCTGATTCGCTTTTGATAAACAGAATTTTCGGTAACTTGGTGTCTTTGGTTTCCAGCACTTGACCAATGCCTTTGTTAATATCGCTTATTACTTCCTTGATAACGCTTCTTACATGCTTAATCATCATCGTCACCACAAGCGCGTGCGCCTTAATGTTCATATGTTTGCCATCTGTGCCAGTCGTGTTCTTAATCACAGCTCTCCATTCTCCCTTTTCTTTACGGCAAAGCAATTCTCTTAAACTCAGTGAAGTAATATTGTAATAGCCTGCGAGCTTAGTTTGACCAAAACATTCGAGATTTTCACATACACTACCCTTATAACGTACAAGGTTAATAAACAGTACCGCTGGCATCGACGGATGCGTCAGGACTTGTCGAGTTAATTGCTCCAGTGGCACAATGTTGTTGTGGTCATTGACAGAGACTTCTATCAGGACAATATCAATCTTTTCGCGCGCTGCAAGGAACGTTTGGTAGCAATAAGAATAAAAGTAACTTCCACTTGCCCCAATAGCCAGTTGAAAGTCATTGACAGAGACTTCTATCAGGACAATATCAATCTTTTCGCGCGCTGCAAGGAACGTTTGGTAGCAATAAGAATAAAAGTAACTTCCACTTGCCCCAATAGCCAGTTGAATTTCTTTCATAAGGGCCTTTGTTATACCACCAATGTAACTATTCCACCAATCGATAAAGACTCTGAAGTATAATCCATCTAAACTCTTCTCATCCCCTCCTAAATAACCTCCTGCACTATTTGACCCTCCCAGCACGACAAGGTTGATATCTTCGCCCCCCAAAGCCTTTCTTAGAACCTTCTTCATTCTGCCAGTATTACCAGCTTTAATGGCGTTTGACATCAACTTGTCTTCAAAGTACCATGGACTGAACACATCGTCATCGGTATCTAGCGCACCTTGTACTTCGTCGAGTGTTCCATACTGCAACAAAGTAGATTTTAAAGGGCGGGGCTTGAAGATGTACACAGAATACAGGAACAGGATGACACAAGCGAAGAAGGCAAATAAATACTTGCTCAAATGCGTCATGGTTTTTCTTGTCCACACGGAGACTGTAATTATTGCGTAGGATATATTCTTGGATGCAAGTGTTTCCTTTAATTTCTCGTCTAGAAGAAAAAGCAGGAAAAGCAGTCAATATTTCAGGCCTTGTAAGACTTTTCTATTATTTTTACGCTTATAAAAAATTACAATTATTATTAGATTAAATTATTATTATTATTATTATTATTATTATTATTTGAAAAGTTATTTTTAGTTTATCTTTGTTTTTTAGTTTTTTTAATGCGTGTTCCCAATTAGTGCCGATGGCGCTAGAACGACCAGACACAATAACAAAGGGCTATGTATGTATGTATGTTCGGTAGATAAGCATTGAAGGCGTGAGTTACTAGCGGTTTAATTTGGTGGGCATGCACTACTCAGGTTGGGCCCCCAATCATTCAGTCAAAAAGTGATGGGGGGTGGCCTATCTCTAAGCACTTTAAAAGCGTCATTGTCTGAGAAAGTGTTCCAGGGGCCAAAAGTTCTGGTCAACCGATTTGGCTGAAACTTGACACAGAAGTTGGGTACTTCTCTGACTTTTAGTTTTGGAGTTACAGGGGGGGGGGGGGGGGGG